TTTAATCTTTGCCAATCTAATAGCCGAAACGCAGTATAATTTTAAAATCTGCCTAGCACAGTGTTCAGTACATACAGAACATTCTCAATAAAAGGCAGTTAATATTATGAAATTTATGTGTTCTTAAATCTCCACATTGTGTGATCCCTAATTAGATTTTCCAGATTGATACATAGCAGTTGTACATACCTAACTAGCTTTTAAGTTTACTGAGCGTACTGTAAACTTATATATAAACTTTAAAAACAGAAAATTTTCTTCAAACATTTTGTAGAATTTCCAAAGATTTTATTTTGAGGAATACCCAACCAACTGTATTATATATTAAGAGATGAACAAGCCAGATACTTGTTCTTTGACATAACTGCTTTTGGCACGTCTCCTGTTAATTTACTACTGCTTATCTCTGTTTTCTCCATTTCCAAATTGGAGACAATATTGCCTTCTCCATATTGCAGAAGACTATAATGAAAAACTAGTTTTCATTTAGAGATAACATACACAATAGGTAAACCCTGCCCCTAAAATGAGAAGATATGCCATCTATGTGCTAGTTACAGTGAGAAGGCAAATAATACCTTTTGGAAGGATATTACCTTTAAATACACAGTTTTCAAATTGAGTAGCAAAAAAGTTTTCCTAATAAAGAATGTAACTCAAACATAGTTTGCTAAAGCTAGAAGCAAAAACCAAATTAACTTTTGTGGTATACCCTTGCAGTCCCCAACCCCCAGGCCACAGGCTAGAACCAGGCCGCACAGCAGGAAGCTAACAGGACGCTGGCAAAGCCTCAGCTGCACCCACAGCCACTCCCCACTGTGCACATCACAGCCAGAGCCCCGCCCCCCCATCGGATCAGCAGCAGCATCAGACCCTCATAGGAGCAGGACGCTAGGAAACTACGCATGGGAGGGATCCAGCTTGCAGCAATCCCTGTAAGAATCCAACGCCTGATGATCTGAGGTGGAGCTGAAACAGCGACTCAACCCTCCCCTCCCCCTCGCTGTCCATGGAAAAACTGTCTTCCACAAAACCGGTCCCCGGTGTCAGAGAGATTGGGCACCACTGGTATACCCTTTTCTCTCCAATGCAAAAGCTGAGAATTGCCGAAGGAAGCTATATCAGAATGTTATAATTTCTCTTTAAATGTCAGGACTATGTTTATTTCTGAGATGAAAGCCTGAACCTTCCCAAACTGAAATGTTTACAACACAAAAACTTCTTAAGCATTTGATGGTTATTTCAACTTTGAGTTAAAGATTACTGCCTCATGAAGCAGTCTCACATATTCTTTCATAAAAATTGCCAGTGTGTTTCCACCCATAGTTGGACTATCAAGTAAAGTCTCTGCAAATATAGTCCCAAAGGTCACTCCAATGACAAGCCACTGCAGTTTGTCTAGCCGATGATTCTGCTTTTCCGAAAAAAAATCCAATGGTACTTACTTTAAGGCCTTGGAGAAGAGAGTGTCCGGCAGCCTAGTGAGTACATTATGCTGAATATCCAACACCTCCAGGGGGATGTGCTCCACCAGGGCGGGGAGGCTCTGCACCTGATTGTGTCCCACCATCAGTTTCCTAAGGCTCAAGCTACTCAGAATTCTGAGAGGGAACAGAACAAGGAAACAAGTAAACTTACTTAAATATTTCTGAGTCCGACCTAGGCTATTTAATTGAAATCAGTAAGCTAATAGAAACATATTCTTCTAGACTGTATAATCACCGGCAAGTGCTTGAGCCAAGAAAGCAACCACAACCATCTGTTTACCCACCACCCACCAGGAAGTCGTTAAGGTCATTGTGAGAAAAGGTGAATTAGTGACATCAAACAGCACAGAGAGCTAAACTAAAAAAGCAATTTCTAGAATAAATTTAGATTTCAGGGCTAAACAGCACCAAAAATGTAGTGTATGTATTACTATTAATATAATAAACTCACAACAAATTTCATTACAATAAAAACTATTATTTATTGAGTGCTTAAAATGTGCTAAGCCACGTACAATAAAGTTCAGAAAGGTTAAGTG